GCGTCCTAGTCTGATTCCCATGTCGGTCCAACGCATACACCGATTGTTCAGATTTGGGGGTTATACTGACTGGAAATAACTTTACTACAACATGCAACGGAAGTAAAAAGGACGCATATTTACAAGAGAGGAGTTCGCAAATAGGCTTGAATCACTGAGCGTGCACGCGTGTGAGCCGCTCTATCCCCTGAACAACAGGATATGCTGGCACATTGTGTCAGTAAGCGGCACGTCCAAATACAAGCCTCAGAAGGCTACTGCGTACTCCTTATATCGGCCACTCCGGCGTGACTGCAATGACAACCTTGTGTGCAAAAGAAAGACTACCCCGTTCGATGACCTTTGAGGACTAGTTGATGTCAGCTTAACTGTTACCAGCGTCTGTCCAAAATAGTACGAGAACACCTTCCGGCATGATTAGAGAAGGGCCAAGTAAAGGGCATTACTAGGTTTATTCTATTGTACGTGGTAGACTCTACCCATAGCATGGATCCTAGAGAGGCTTTCCGAATGATCTACAAGGTGCCCTCCAGCTATTCAAAATCACTTAAAAAGCGTTTGTTGGCTACAGCAGAATTAACTGCCATCAGGCTAGGCAGACCGGGACTGTGTTTTCAAGAAAACTATGTAGCAGCGCCGCAGTTGCCGTGGTCGCAAGTCAATAACACAACCGCACACGGCTTATCGCCGGCCTCGAAAGCGGGTCCTGCCAGAGACGAACAAGTCCCCAATTCAACCGCGCGCACCTTATCACCTATCCTGACCACTGATCCGTCTAGACACTAACAGTTTGCCCACAATTCCCTCCCCCCACCGCCCCTGACAACAACAAATCTTCATCTTTCCACCAACCAGCATAGTTTATTCATTTAATTACCATTTAAATGTACAGGCCTGAAGAGAACTTATCGAAAGCTAACGTATGCGTACCAATTTTATCTTTGGATGTCAACCAAGTCTAAATAGTTTTAGTACAATTATCCACCTTCTGCAACCGGTTGAACCAATTTCACCCACAATTCCGCCCTACTAACATTCTTTCGTGAATCAACAACCTAGGCTATCTTGTGCTATAATCGAATAAGTGAACCCCAAATGTAAATTGATCATAGATCGAGGGTTAAATATAAGTCTGCTGTCCTCCATCTGAAGAAGGACATCCTGTCGGCTATCAGAACATCTAAACATAGACACCGGTGAAAATATAGTAAGCGCTATGATACACATAGGGTGTTCTAGAGGCAAGTGAGCCGATTTTGGAAGTATACAACAACGGGCTCATTCACAATTAAACCAAACTTAACCCCCCGGGAATGGTCTGGTCTATTGTACCATATCCCCTTCCTTAATTGTCCTTGTAGTTTCAGAGGCTAGACTGCACGCATGGTCGGGTCGCGCATGCACGAGCGTAAATTGCCTTGCGCAATGGGGTAACGGATACGTATTAGTAATTGTCCTCACCCGCGAAACGCAGCAAACAAAACAACTGAATAAGTGATTAAAACCTGATCACCGGATTATAATTCAAAATTAATGTATCGATCTGCCTCCCTCCCACTGTACTTATGATGCCGGCAGTTGGTTAGCTAAGGGTCCACGTAATTATGACATTTTCTGGTGCTGCTGTCATCTGTGAGGATGGCCGAGTACGAAAGCTCAGGAAACCGAACGAATGGTTCTGGTTTTCAAACAATCTCTTTCGTTAACCCCAAAAAAACCATATTTCAGCTTTTTCGTTCCCTGGCGAGCACGTTTGCATTCCCGCGTCGTTTGTCAAACGATTTCAAAAAGCGGCCGAAATATGAAAACGCTGGGCAATATAGGGAAGCAGGTGAGGATGAGAATATTTTTCTGACTGTATTTATTTCTACGGCAACCTATAAAAATCACGGTTTTCTCCACTGTCTATACAAATATTCACCGCAGTTGTTCGAGAACGCCGGGCTGTGTGGCGTTATTTCTCACCAAACTGCTTCGCTGACGTCATGCAATCCTCTCAGACGCCATTACAATTCTTCATTCAAAGCAATACGTCCCTGAAAAGTAACTACAATAACTTCTAAATGCATTAACACTTAACAAAAGAAACATTTCTAGGTATTTTTATTAACTCTGCGATTGTAGGTTTGGTTGAATCGGAGCCATACTAAGGGTGAGATATCGCATAATTTGGTCGATCATGCACGCGCAGAGAAGTCACTACCGCTATGGTCATAAATTTGCACTTGAACCATTCCTGCTTAAAGTCTTTGACTCAAAGCAACCTAGATAAGTCACACACAGAGACAACGAAAACTGTGATCTTAGTTTCCGGCCTGTCAGTCCCGTACCAGCCTCAGGCTCCTGACGATCTGCACTTTAAATTGGATCGGTTGCCACAGGAAACTTGCGTCAGAAGTTGCGTGATCAGAACTACGCGTCCGTGTACTATCAGTCGCGATGAGAACCACGTGATTTTCAAGAGGCTGCGGTTTTTGTCTCAAATCATTTGCTACGCGTTCGACTTAAATTAGAAAGTTCAAATCACGCACGAATGATTTCAGAAGACGATGTACCTCATGAAAAGTACAACAAAATTCTGAAGTGTTTTTCATTTAGGAAGGACTATTTAACGGGGTTGTAATATGCATTATCGCACAGCATATTTTCATATGCTCATGCCATAAAAATGAGTTCCGTATAAATGAAAAAGGTTCGCGTTCCAGGTATTTGCATAGACAAGGAAGAGGACATTTCAAGCACCGAATCAATTGGTTTATTGTCCTGAGCTTCCTAATTGCTCCTCCCCCTTCATCCCTCTTGATTGCTGTTTCTAACCCCTTGACAACTTGTTGACTTCGGACAGTTGATTGGCCTATAGCCACTATAATTACCCTCCTATTGGTAGCTACTTCTCATCTCTGAAGATGGGCTCCTGTAAGAGTTCGAAAGCTCAGGACAATAAACCAATTGATCCGGTGCTCTAAACGTTTTCTTCGTTGCGCATAGAATGCATACTGTTATGGAAAATGTATGCTACCTCCTTAATAGCAGAAGCATGCGTGGTTTTCTTCTAGTGGACAGTTTTCAGTTTGTTATTTAAAACCCTATATATAGGTGAAGTGTTAGGCAGGATGCACACTTCGCCGACGATATAAAAACTGGTAGATACCGTTTTTTGAGCAGACGTTGTGAAGACGATGTGATTAGCCATGATACGTGTACAATAAAGGAAACAGGTTCTGCATGATTCCCATAAAATATGCTTTGATTAAAAAGTGCATCAAAAATCGATGCGAGAATATGTTCATTACATAAATAGTTATTGATGCCAAGAAAAAAAACTGTTGTTGTTGGCGGAAAAAGGTCCATTCAGTAATCAAAACCCTATCATGACTAAAATATTAGGGGGTGTGCTGCATGATTATATATACATATTACAACCTCGCTTTAATAAGCCTAGCTAATCGCATTTCAGAACTGCGGTTAACGTTCCACTAGATACCGCCCATGGTACAAGGAGCGTAATTGGAAAGGTTTTTTGAAACTTTATTATTATACAGTATAGCAAGTGCTGCAGGCAAAATGCCGCAATTTGCGAAAGACTGGTAATTACTTGCAAACCAACATTAAACAAGTTTGCAATACTGATTATCGCGCAGTGTAATATTCAGTCTTTTCCGTCACGGCAGGATGCCGGCTTTTTAATAAGTTTCTTTTTGACCACTTATGAAATATATATTCTGAAAAAATGGCTACTTAAATAGTATGCATTTTTATCCCTGATTTTGACTACCTGTGAGAATTCAAATATATATCACAGAAAACATGCACGAAAATATATTTTCATTTGTTCGTTTGGTAGGGAATTATGCCTTCGTTAAATTTTATTTTAAAAAGGTGTATTTTTCGGTTTCAAAGAGTATCTAAATTACCGAATAATTTTGAAATGTAACGACTGCTACACCTGAATTCAAGGTTTCCGAGCAGCATGCTGTGCACGTTCTGTTTAAGGAAAAAACACTTTTGCGTACGGGTTGAGGAAGAGGTCGCTTAGTTCTCATAAAATTTTGCAATATATGTGGATCATGCTGTATATACCATAGGGAGCATTACTAAATTGACGCATACAATGTATTATGAATGAACACCTCACATTCGCAAAACATATCATAATTATAATTTTTTTCTAAAAACGAAGAATACCCTTTCTTTAAGTATAAAATTTAAAGAAGGCAAATTTCCTTCCAAACAAGTATAAGAAAAACATATTTTCGTGCATTTTTTCTTTTAAGTATATTTTTTAAATTTATCAACGCAGTCAAAATTCATGGTAAAAATGAATACGATTTAAGAAGCCGTTTTTTACAGCATATTTTTTT